CATTGAAAATAAACATGGCAGGCACAATGACAAAGCTCTACCAAGGTTTACTCAGCAAACATCAAGGCATGAGTACAACACCTAGAATATTTTTGTAAAGAAAAAGCCAGACGAAAATGTTTTGTGTTTGGGCTCTCTGTTTGAAGAGTAAGCGCAGCTCTATTCTTCTCAGATTTTAGGGTTTAATCTGCCAGGGTGGGGGAGGAAGGAGGCTTTTGAATCTTTATTTTTAAAGTTCAAAGCACCTGCTTAACCCTTTAGTCCTCGATGTACATCATTTTGTGGCAAGGGGGGGGGGGGTGACCCCCTCTTAATGTTGTATGATCAGAAATCCCTTGTAGTTTTGCTTATTTTTTGTGGGATGGAGAGGGCTTCTCCTGAAGCCTTCCTTGATTTAAAATATTGAAAGCAGCGACCAAAACTCGCCTTCTCACAGGGTCTGGTACATGTATATTGATTTCCCCATCTCCCAATAAAATGTTGAAACTGTGGGCATTCTGAGTTATGCATCAGACCCCTCTAAATGTTGAGCCCCCCTCCCCCGCCCTTCTCACAGCCCATTATTCTTTATTCATTTCCATCTACATGCTGTGGTTGCTGTCAACAATAAATATACTAATATCAATCTAAAATCAGATCAAAAGGGATTAAGCCATCATATCAGGGAACACTTGTGAACACCCCCCAAATCTACATCTCATTACATGTAGATGACGTCCAATTCAAATTCATATCAAGAATAACACCGTCCATGCACTCCTCTTTTATTTGTTTGAAACTGGTATATTTCTATTCATAACATACACGAGCACGGAACACAAACACAAATAATTCCTCGCATGGTTTCGTCCCATTTCCATAACAACCAGAGCAAATCATGCCCAATTTCCAGACTCTTCAATTTATTCATAGAATTCCGCAGATCATGAGCCTCTAGACAATATATAACTTGATTTACTTTCCACTCTGCTTCTGCTGATTTCCTTTACTTCATTTTGGTCATTAAGACACAGAAGGAGTTTGTTTTCCATTATCAAAATGAATTTCGTACCATTTATGCTATATTTTCTTCATTTATGCCATATTTTCATCACGCATTTCAATTTTTTTGTTATGACCCGAGGACATGACCCATTTGGTGCAGACATACGTCACGTGTCACGAGGAGGTTTGGATGAAGAAAGAAAGATGTATGATGATGGACCTGCACAGATAGAATCTAACAGAGGAAGAACTTAAAGAGAAAGTTGCCTCAATTTTTTAGGTTCTGCAGCTTCTATGGCAGAAATTCATATTGATGCAATATTTTGAAGTACTTTGTATCTAGCAGAAAGACACAATATTGATTCATATTATTATTAATAGTCATCCAAAATAATGAGGATCCATCTAGATTCCTGACTAACATATTGCTAACAATTAAAGAATAAAGGAGTCAATAGTAATACCCCTTCACCTCACCCCCCCCCCACCCCACCCCTCCCATCTGTAGTAATATTTAGATAACCTCCATCTTTTTTGCGATACATTTCTTCTACAGTAATCTTTATCCTTTTGACAAGCATCAAAAGTCATTTCCTAATCTTGCAAAACTAATAAGTCTTTATTTCTTCACCTTGAGTTCCCCTCTCCCAAATCCTTCCTTATTGATCCGGATAAACCATAAAGCCAATTTCATAGCGATGTTTTCCTGAATTCATTCATGTGCCGCACCTGTAACCTATTGTAACTTTGTTCCTCTTTCCTTTTCTTCCAAATCAGAAAGATCTTCATTTGTTCCCTTTTCATTCGATCGCATTCATTCATAACATCCATGACTCATCAATGTTGGCCTCGTCAAACCCAACTTCAAAGCTTTTCTCTTTTATAATTCAAGTGAATAAAGAGGCTCACATGTATTTAATCCAGAAAACTTGTACAGAAATTGAACATTCAAGTCTAATGCTGCACTGTTCAAACAACCATAGAAATTTGTTTTTTTCGAGGTGTGCATTTCACTATTGAGAATGCACGGTGGTGGGTTTGAATAGAGGGCCTAGGGTGCATTAAATTGGTTTGGTTATGCTCCGATTGTAAGCAAACTTTGTGGGAAGAGTTCTATTTGCATTCTGGAACCAGAGAAGTTTGAGAACAAGTGTATGTTTGATTGTACCACAAACAATGTAACCAAGCAGGTATGAAAATACAAGTAAAACATGGCCACAAGTTTTTCTGTGTTGTTAAAATGATTTTGTTTTTCATGCATGCGGGACTAGAATACCAAACATGAGCAACAACCAATAGTCATGCAACGTCCTATTATTCCTGTGTGTTAGCTGACTTGTTTTTGAAAAAATTGTATCAATCATAATAAATGACCTTTTCCAACTGAAATTTGATAAAGGTTTTAAATGCAAAATAGGCATGATGTGCACTAGAATACATTTGAACAATTCAAATCTTGCTGCGATCCCCCCCCCCCTCCCCCCAATAAAAGGTGATACTATAAATTAGACTGAAATGTACTTTATTCCTGCTTCACATTTTCATACAAAGGAACGAGGGCCTTTACTTGATACAATTTTTTTCTCTATTTATCAGAATTCTTCCTCCTTTCCACTTATGATTCAACTAAACTAGCACATCATGGTAACAACTCACTGGCAGACTAAAATCACACAAACAACTCTCATTTCCAATATCACAACAGGGCAGGTTCATACTGAAGATTCCTTGACAAGTGTGTCTTAGAGATAGACAAAGCCAACAGTCATTATACCTCAGTATCACTGGCAAACCCGATTCAAAACCAACTCCAAATTGACTCCAAACCGATTAATTTTGAGCCTATGGGGGTGATGTAGATGCTTGTAAATAATTGGTCTGTAATTGGTCTGGTTTTTATTTGCTGGTGTGGCTGAGGCATCACATGTCAGAGGAATATTGAATAAGAGGCAGGTTCTGACTTCCACATGGAACAGTTTTGCAATATTGTATTTGAAAATCTCACAAACCTATTCAAAGGATAATTACCCAAGTGCCTCTTGGAAATGTTCTTTACTTTGTATTTAATAATAATAATAATAATAGTGGCTACTTGTATAGCACACAGGTCCACCTTTCGGTGCTCATGGCGCTTATTTGTACGGTAGATTCATTCTCAGGAACAATAGGGATTTTCCAGGTGACCATTTTTCAAGAACATTTAGACTTACAAGATTACGTTTCTGAAGCTCTAAGGATCTGTAATGTGAACGAAGCTACTTACAAGCTAAATCAGGAAAACAACTCTCGCTCTAAATATCACAATCAGAGATAAAGTACACCAGTTGACTCTCACTCGGCCATTTCTAGCAGATTCCCTGGATTGAATCTGACACAGTAATTTAACAAGACAAATTACGTCCGCTAGATTCTTGCTTGCTTTCTGCTGCCGACGGGAGATGATTGCTGTCCACTTATCAGACTCAATGATGGACAAACGAAGAATCAGCCAAGAAACTCTTATAGACAGAAACTGTTATTTAGTGTATATCCTTAGATCGGAAGGAATGGGAAGCGTATGTCTTGAAGTTGATACTTTTAATACTAAACAGGACTAGTCAAATCACAACTATTGATACGCCAGGTTTCTTAGTTATTTCAAGGCCTTTATAACCGATGAAAACATTGAGTGTCTTTTCAACAAATTTACAACCCACATCTCCATACATCCTTGCAGTTAAATGATGCATATGAAATTTACTGAATTCTGTGACTTTACTTGATATTCATATACCGGTAATAAATCATTCAGAGAAGGGAGAGAAACAGAGTACAAGAGAAGAGGAGGAAGAGTAAAAGGTAGAAAGAGGGAGAGAGAGAGAGGGGAGAGAGATAATGTAGAGAGAGAGAGAGAGAGAGAGAGAGAAAGAGAATGAGAAGGAAAAGGCAATATAAATGAGGCAGATGACATATAGATAGAAAGTGATTGATCTTTTATTTACTCAGACCAACTCTAGAAGGTCCATACCTAGACCAAAGCAAACTTCACTTTCCCTCTCCCTCATCTCAAAGACCAGAAATAGCGAGCCAGAATTCCTCTATAGTCTCTGTCTACGTATCTTCTTATCAAACACATACCTCACTTCTCCTATCTCTACTATACACGCTTCTCAGCTATGGTCAAGAAATGAAATTTGTCCGCCATGTTTGATCAGCAAACAATCGGCTCTAGTCGCGGGCTCCTCGCGCCATAGAGCTTGTGCCATCGATGAAGCGAGGGAAAGCTGCTGAACCAACAATGTTTCATTTCAGCGAAGAAGATCCGGAGTCCCTGAGCTTTCTGACTGCATAGGGCTAAAGCATACAGCTGTGTCGAGAATTGTCTTATGAAGATGATTAATTCCCAGTGGTGCCTTGATGGGTATCCATTTGGTGTTTCGTTTTCTTCCTTCGTGCTAAAGCAAACTTTGTCTTGATGGACGGTTGAAACCGTCTAAGCAAAGAGACACACTGATCTCTTGGGCCATAGCTTCAAGCCTTCATACAATGTACTCATCTAGTAATCATATTAACGATGTCCATTCATAAATCAAAAACCAAACCACTCTCAATTAACGCCAGGGACTTGCACCAAACACAGAACACCAATTGACCATGTTAAATCTTTTGTTTCAAATATCTAGAGAGCTCTTGTGGTGTCATAACACAATAGCTTTGTGTTTAATAATCACTCTTTGGTGTTACATACCACAGAAAACCTTTATATCTCTCAACAACACAACATATCAGAAGAAATAAACACTAGCACCTGACACACAATCTCTGCTAAAACACAACCAGCATCATCACTCTTCTATTTTTAAACACCAGACAATAACACCTAACACCAAATCTGAATTCATAAATGGATATGGAAGGTATGCATTCAAGCTCTTTACACCTTACATTAACACCAAACATCATAAATGGATATGGAAGGTGTGTATTCAAGCTCTTTACACCTAACACTGAAGACTAAAATGGTATGGTGTACTTACCCCTGGTAAAACTTTTCTGTTGTGAAGTTCTTTCTGTGCTTTATCTGCTACGACACCAGAATAGAATGTGACAAATGCGCAACCTGGGTGTAGAAGAGAACAAACACATTAACACCAGAGTTCAAAGAACAGTCAAGTGCAATGTGAATGCAATACAGTTATAGAACGTGCTGATCCAAAAATATCACTCAGATCATCCCTCAATACTGTTTCCCCGTTTCCATTTCTCTTTGGATTATTTTTATTCAGACAATGGTGTTTTTAGCAAAGCAGTGGTGAGCCACAGAGAAAAGCAATGACAATATATTCTTGTTCAACAGATTGACATTGATTCTTAATAAAAATCATAATTTTCAGGAGTTATTCCAACCCCAAAACACTTATAGGTTGAACAGGATTTTGAAATCAATTTCTGACTGGGGTAATAATATGATTGCAGGGCCCTCAGGGAGAACAGTATGAATACTGATGAGGCTACCCTGGGTAAACAACACATATATTGTTATTATAATTATTATTATTTCTGCCATATTTCTCTCACCTTTACTTTCTCCTGTCTTCTTATCTCTGAGCACGTTGAGTTCATATACAGGACCAAACTCTGAGAACATCTCCCTCAGTTTATCTTCTTCGTATGCCTTGGGGATCTGACCAACGAACATCTTGAGCGAGTCTGGATCTGGTTGAGCGGTCTGGGGCGGGGGTACGCCCGAAATCTCGCCGGTATTCATCATCATCGGGGAATCGGGGTTTCCTGTTAAAGGTCTCTGTAAGATAAAAAAATAAAGAGATAAAAGTTAATGGTGATGACGACAATCACAATTTTGATATAAAGAAATAAGAAAGAACTTTAATTTTGCTTAAGACGATAACGATGGAGACATAAATAGTTTACAATCTTACCAATATAGCAAAAACAATCAACCCAAGAAAATGATCAATTTATGCATGGTACAGCCCCCCCCCCCTTTTGTTGTTGTTGTTGGAGTAGACACATTTCGCAATGCTATGTAGGAATGAAATATGTTCGTTACATCTCACCCCCTTGCAAAAATGCTCTGCAGTCCCTGCTTAGGGTATGTTTCTGTTTGAATGAGATGAAGGGGTATGACGTAATATGCAGGAACAACTAACCACATATTCACACGAGAGAATAAACCACATTTCCACATAGTACACTATGCCTTGCATATACATGTAGATGCATTCATCACATCTGCTATGCATGTGTATGAATTTATTTTAAACCCATCTGTTTCTTCCACACATACTCAGCATGGTTCATATTGATTAATATTCATAACATATGGCAAAGTCTAGGACCTGTTCACACGGATCATACTTGGATTAGAAAAGCTGATAGTTATGGAGTAGTATAAATGCAACTTCTAGTCTACCAATGAAGACACATCTACTTTTTTCTATCAACATGAAAAGAGCTAATGGTTATATCCCCCCCCCCCTCCCCCACCAGTTTCAAGTACAGGCGAATAAACATGAGGGGGGGGGGGATAGAGAAAGTATGCTACACAAATATTCACCAATGCAAAATGGCATGACTACAACTGACAGTCACAAAATCAATATTTCTCTTTTTTTATAAATATTTTGAAATGTCTTGTTGAATTTGAAGAAATCTATCAAAGAGTAACCGGTAAAGGGATGTATAAGAATGAACAGTACATCTGAAGAGGTTTATCTGGTGCTCATATTATGGCTAAGATTGAATTACAGGATAGACATATGTCTTGCACAGAGGGTCAGACGAATATTGCCTCATTACTGTCTCCAAATTGTTCTGCGTGATTCCAGGGAAATACAGCACATGTGATTTCCCAGCCAACACAACCAACACTCGTAGCGATGTACCTCAGTGCGTACTTTGTGCAATCTGGGTTTCCCATCCATACACCTACACAAATGTCAATAATTGCTCAAGAAGATCTCGAGATGTCTAGAGGGTTCCTAGATGAGCAAATCCAAGATGAGCTTCTACAAGATGCAAGGAATTTAAATGAGCTGTACTTTCATCTTTGTATGAGAACAATGAGGGCCTGATTCTATCAAAACAGTTTTTTGATTTATGAGAAAAACTTAATCTTGATAACTTTAAGAAACAAAGCATTTTTATCTCTGTGTTTAATATGAATAGTCTACGCTCATGTATTAGGAGCTACCTGTATTTCAACTTTCAAGGAGTGACTTCATGGTAAGGTAACGGTAAAGCCCAATAAATGTTACTCACAAGCCTAAATATATAGCTTTCATCAAATGAACTTTAATTCCACAATTGAAAGTGACCTAGTTTCTTTCTTCTTATCACCTTCCTGTTTTGCCATTTCCAATACTACCAAAATGAATTTTAGAAAGCTTTCAAACATTTCATAAATGAGCAAAATAGATTACACACTAAAAATCATGAAAAATATAAATACTTTTGGATAGCCTAAATAAAAGCTAGTACTAGTAATCATTATATCATTGCTCAGTGAAATGTACCTGTCTATGGTACACACCGTTAGGAGTCCGTTTCTGAGAGCCGGAGACTATCAAGCTATATTGGCAATTACTTGGGATATTTGGAGCAAGAGCTTAATGTAACTTTATTGCAATTTCCTTGAAGTGCGCATCAAGTGAAGGCCTAAAGAGAACCCTTTAAGACTAAGAGGATAAAATTGAAATGTTGAGATTGAAGAGAGAGAGAGAGGGGGGGGGGGGGGGGGACAAGAGATTGTGATGGTTCCATGAAGAGGATTGATGGAGGAAGAGGGTCCAGCCATGGAGTTGCATGCGGTATCACCAGACAGGTATCACCATGGCGACATTACTAAACAGCCAATTAATTAAAGGATTCCATGGAAGTTACCATTCATGGCAAAGTTACCATCAAAGATAAGTTTTATGTAACAGGCACCCTGGGCCTATATTCATAAGACATGGTTGTGAACTAACTGTATGTAATATTAATTGACAACTTACAATAGTAAGGTTTTATGAATATGGGCCTAGATTTCCTAAAATCTATAGACCTTGCAACACTGTTCCCTAGATTCAAATGATGAAATTCTGCAATATTATTACCTGTGAAATCTTTATGACATGACTCTATCAAATATAAGCGTAAAGTGTACAGGTGAGGAGAGACTTTTCTTTTTCTAATCGCAGTTGGAAGGTATGAAATGACATGACCTGATTAGCAGCATCAAATATGAAAAATATCCTATTGTGATCATTGTCTGCTGGCAGCCTTGGGCCAACACAAAGTGTTACCTGTGGGACTGAGCCGACATAAAAAGCTACCTGCGGGACTGAACGAGCCCATCACTCATCACTATTACTAAAATGGTCTTTGGATTTATTGTAAACAAAGACCAGGCCATGAGATTTACTAAGAGTTCTAGACTTGTGGCTGATATTTTCTGATGAGGGAGAAATAGATGCAAGATATGGATACAGAGTTAAAAGGCAACTCGATATGAGCATGTTGCAGTGACGGGCTATACGTCAGACACTTATTATGCTAATAATATTATATTCTCCAACAGCACATATCATATTATGTTATAACAATTCTTCGCATTTCTAAAAGACTTTGGATATCATCAATTATCACCGTAAATCACCAAAAAGTGACACAGAAAATAAATATATAAATCTTGCAGGCAGGCATGTAGTAATTAAAAACAAAACTGACATAATGGTATTTGCCTTTACTTGCTCTTTAGAAGAAAAATAAATCTGAGATAAACACCAAACCCTGATTGAATCCTTGAATGGATGCAAAATCTTTGAATCAATGCAAAACCCTGGTGACCTACATCAGAATAGATACTGTCTGTAATCTATCCCCTTCCCTTTTACCACAGAGAGAGAGAGAGACAGAGAGAGAGAGAGACAGAGAGAGAGAGAGAGACAGAGAGTGAGAAAGAGACAGATAGAGAGAGAAAGAGAGACAGAGAGAGAGAGAAAGAGAGAGAGAGAAAGAGAGACAGAGAGAGGGGGGTAAGGGGGGGCGGGGATGCTCGGGTTCTTCCCAAGGAAGTGTACAGTCTGAGCCTACAGACGGTGCTATGTATACTGAGCCATTGGGCCTACCTACGTAATCCCACGTAATGAAATCAGGATAGAGCGTGCTATAGGAGGAGAGAAGCGAGGCCAGAGCATGGCGGAGAGAAACCCTGACATTTAGATAGATATTCCCAACGCTGACAGATAGAGAGTCAACACCACTACCCAATACAATAGCTTTAATATTGATCATACCTAGCTGCTTTTCTTATGAATTCTGTATAAGTATTCACTGCCTTTGTATTAATTAATTATTTAATAATCAGTGCTACTCAATGTCTGTGTTACAAATCACTAGGCGGTGTTACACAGAAAAATCCCTTAAAAAATCCCTTGAAAAATCCTTTCGAAGGAGAATTTTCTTGCTTCGATAGAGGATTTTTAATAGGATGATTGATGACAGACAGCAATTAAGAGGATAACTAAAATCCAGATTTTTGGCCTCTGTGTGACACCACCTACTAGGTCTACATGTTTGAGGGCTATTCAGTTATGTACAACCTTACAAGTAAATGTCTAGACCTGACCTGTGCATACATCCATGGAAGTTGAAACTGATACATCTCGGTAAGATTGTTTGTTGAGAGGAAGAAAGGCATTAACTTGTATCCTTTAATACACACTTAATGCCCTCCTGGCTCTTAACAGAGGATGTTTTTTGTTACCTATTTTGTTAGAAAAATGTTGGATGAATAATTACAACATGTGTAAGCAGATAATTTCAGAGTATCTGAAGCATAACTCTGCCAAAATTTCTAAAAATTAATAAATTTAAAATCTTTGGAAAAATTTGAAAATGCATCTCATTGAATTACAGAATGTACAGAGAGAGTACAGTTGCTGCTATGTTCATTCTGAATGATGTTTATGAGCTTACATTAGCATAACTTCAGATGCCGCACGTATGTGTATTTGCCTGCACTGCATATGTGCATGTACATTGTCTGTTCGGAACCAGAAGGGCATTACCTCATATAGTTTAACACACAGTTCAACATTCTCCTGAGTGTGTACAGACGATATCCTACCATAACAATCCTTCCATTAAAGATGAGCACTCAAATCGTCTACCACTGGAAGACGAATGGTAAACCAGTTCTTCAACCTTCAAACGACATCTTAAGTAGATCTCAAATGACTTTACCTACCATGATCAAGAGAGCCATGTTCCCTCTACGTTCCCTTATAGCTCGCCCTATTTCTATCCTCGGCTCTTAGAAATATCGTCAAAACGAATGATCATACGTCTGCTAAGATGTATGCTAAATGCATTAGCTCCACATCTATCTACAGCTAGTAGTTTAGGTGGTAACTTTGACTGTGAAAAACCTCTTTCTCTTTCCATCTCTCCCTCTCTCTCTCTCTCTCTCTCTCTCTCTCTTTCTCTCTCTCTTGCTTGAATTTATTCACTGGAATGTAGATTAGAACCCTCCTATGTACCTTTGCATAATATACACACAATAACAATAGCAGATATGGACGCCTGAGTGCTGTGGTAGTATAGCGCAGGTATGCTGAGCATCTCAGGAATGCATCGTTGATTAGCTTCACTCTTTTTACCCCTCATCTTGCATTCCGGCTAAAGGTGCATTTCTGGGCCAGAATCTGTCAGTTAGTAACCCCATGTGCATCAGAATGAGGTCTTATCATCAGAAACATGTGCAAGGATGTTTCATGTTAACCCTCTTCCTACATTGTATGTGTGAAGTAGGCTTTAAAGTGTGCTAACCCGTTACCTAGAGGAACCAGTGGATCATGTATTAAGCCTATGGAAATCAGAGATTGTAGTTGTCAATGGGTTAAATTTACTTCAAATTTTCCATATCATCTCTTGCCATAACTGGTCCTTTACCATGGAGGATAAACATTAGAAAGAAAGAAAAAAAAAAAGGAAAGATTTAAAAAACAAGCTGGAACCTTTTGTCCATTTGTAGCCAGAAGGGCAGTAACTCATATAAACACAGGGTTAACGACCTTGTAGCACTAAACAGATGATTACATCTCTTAGGGCGCGTTCATGCTTGATTTTGACGGCCAGAATCAGGCATCTGTTACGCGTTCAGTTTAAAACACGATTGCGTTCATGCTCACTTTTGTAGAATCACCGAAAAACGGCGATCATGATCGCCGATCGTAAACTCACAAAAAGATGCGTTTACAATTTGTAAACGCGTTTAAATGGGGTCAACGCACTGACCTCTAGTGGGTCTACGTAGCATGCGCACACAGGTTTGCGAATCCAGCTGAAGGCCACCCAAGGAGAATTGCCTGGAGAAGTGAGCATGAACAGTGCACCGTGGAACTGCGATTACGATGAGCGTTTACGATGAGCGTTACAAATCGCTCATTCTGCCTTCAAAATCAAGCATGAACGCGCCCTTAGAAGCAATACTGGTGTTAACTCCATCTAAAGGTAGATGAGTCAATGCCCTTCTAGCTCCAAGCACATAATCTTAACATGATTGTGTTTGATGAATAAAGGGTTCATAAAACCCATTTAAAAGCAGCTGGTCCAAATAATTGAATTTTACACCATCAATAGAAATGTGTCTATGGCCATGCGGATGTGAAATGTATCACATTTGTCTAGAAAATAGTTGTGAAAATACACACAGTCACAGACAATGACATGTTGAATCTCAAGATTTAAGCTTCCCCTAAAAGGCTGATATTTCCTACTCTTGTTCATCCACAGATGAAAATTATTTTATGAATAAGAATAGTAAATTTTATGATTCATTTTTAAAATTATAATTCACTCAAATTGTGAATGGTCATTACAATATCTAATGATTAAAACGTAAAATATTCAATGAGTAACTTCCATACAAAGTTTGTGTGAGCCTAACAATCAGTACAATATTCTATGATTAAATATTCTGTATAATATCTTATGAGTAAATATTTGGTTTGTATGTCCGACAAAAGCAAATATAAGCCTGCCATACATATGCCAATATATTACATCAATTAATAAACAGAACAAATAAATTATATAAGCAGATGAACAAAAATTGCTACCTAGTTATCAAAAATGTATAACCCTTGCAAAATCAAATAAAGATCTTAGACAATATTGTAATGTGAAGAAAAGGGAGAAAAAAATCGCTATGGAAATGAGGGGAGTATATCAGATTAAAAATCAAGAATTTTCCATCAGAATTTAGTATTCCAATCAATGCTTGAGGGTAATAACAGGTCCAATCTTTTTTTTACTCTTTTTTCATCATTTCTAATAAGACCTATATTTCTACGACGGTTTCCTGCCCTCCAGTAGCGCTGATAATGATTGCAGAGAATAAATATCACAGCTCCATGTATTATGTATAATTGACTGATGCACTGGGGAAAGAGAAATGATGGCGGTATCACCTCGCGATCTTCGTTCTGACCTTCCTAGTGCAGAGGACCTACGTCAATTCCCTTTTGTGTTGATGTCCGTCGATGCCGCCGCGATCGAGAGGACACAAAATTGCAGATGAAATTATTTTGTTGCTTCATTATCTTTTTTATGTGATGTAAATCACGCATAATGACTTGATTATGATCTGGTGACGTAGGATCAATGCTCCTTTACATGTGTGAGATTTTGTTCCTCCTTCAAATGAAAGATAAGGGCGTCTAATGATACCAACTGTTACCCAGATAGATAGAAGGCAAACAAACAGATTGAGAACAAAAAAATTAACTCTTGTCTGCCGACAGAATTAATTTTTGAGATGTAACACAGATAGTTCACTAATATTATTCGAAAGTTGATAAGAATCAACGGAACACTGATTTTTTTTTCTCTCCAATTTTCTCCTTAAGTTATCTCTTTTCCCCTTCCTTTCAATTGTTTGTCTTTTCTTGTTTCTCTCTCTCTGTCTATGCAAGTCTTTCTTCCTCTCGAATACTCATTACAGTGTCACCTCCCTCTCTCCACTTTTAATTTCCCTCATATTTTCCTAGCTTTCATAAAAGGAAAATTTAAAAAATATCAAACAGAGGTAAACGAATTAAGATCTCACAAAGAGAGAATTCTGCTGAACCTCATCTATGAATGAAAACATTATTGTACAGCATAAGGAAGCAAGTTATGCAGTGTATCAGTAAGTTGGCCTACTTGTATGTAGGAAATGAGAACAAATTGCTAAAAAACCGACCAGTTATCATTTGTGCCAGCAAAATTTTTGGTGCTCTTTGGGAACTCTGAGAAAAAAATATGTATTGTATAACTTGACGATTCTAATACACAAGATATTGACTCATTGCTGAAGTCAAAATGTTTTTTAAAAAAAGGGGGAAAAAAGAAGTTAAAACTTGTATGCATTTATTGCAGCCAACGCAAGCCTGAGTGAAGGAACATTTGATAAGGGGGAAAGGGTGGAGACGAGAGAAAACAGCCCAAGATAGAGAGAACGTGAGAGCATGCACAACAATAGGAATCTGTATTTGCTATGCTTTTAGTTCCGCTCATAGGGACTCTTGTGATCGACACAATCTATTGTCGTGAACTTCCCTCGGACATATTACCCTGGATATGCTTTTTATGATTCAAAATAATAAAAAAATAATCCATTGGGGAATGTTTCTATGCTTCATCTTTTATGAATAGAAATATTCTCCTTTGGAAAGGTCCCTACAGAAATTGCCTCATACATGTATATATCGGGGTTGGAGGGGGGGGGGGGGATACATCAAGTGCTGCAAAAATTAGTGAGAGAAAAGATTTATGAATATAGGAATGCACTTTAGGTACCCTCCCTTGGCTATATACAGGTACCCTTGTTACCCTTGTGTAATTCTAATATGAATTAAAGAAAAGGTTGAGTTCTGGGGAGAGGTTGAAAATAATTTGTGAGCATGTCATTGTTATCACGCTAGTGTGGAAGAACATCTGAGACAAAATGTTCTCTGAAATACCTTCATATTCTAAATATGACATGCAAGAGCGTAAAAATGTGGGCCTCATTTTTATGACAGTGACAGTAGAAGCAAGGTTGACAAAAATATGAAAAATTATCTAGCCTCAAATAATTTGTCAGTTCATTGTATGGTTCACAAAGATTTTTTGCCAACATTTCCATGAAACCTGATCGTACTTCATGTATAGGGCTACAACTTGCCTACAGCTCTCTCAAGAAATGGTTCAGAAGTCGATACTTAATGAATGGTACCAATTCTGATCACACAAAATGCTTGTTGCTTTTGAATTAACTATATTTAATATCAATAAGATAAGCATCTGGTCGGAAGAAAACAACACTTCATGTTTCACTGAAATCATTCATATAATGACAATGATTCAGAAACAGGATTATACAGTCAAACCTGTCTATAGCGATTGCCCAAGGGAAACACAAATAGTCTTTGTAGACAGGTGGCCATTAAAGCAGGTTTGACTATACAAGACCATTTGGATTAAGGCAAAATGCCAATGCACAACTGAGCTATTCATTGGAAGTGAACCACTTTAGTATTCATCTGTCAAATGTCAACTCCACTTCTCTTTCCAGGTCTCTATTCAATCCACCATTCATTACCCTCACACCGAACCAAGGCGTCTATTGTGCTTTCCAGTCGGTCCATTCTTCACCTCCACCATTTTCACACGCGAGATAATGTTTACGAAACCGCATGAATAGTGCGAATGATCGTATTTCGCAGGTTTTTATGTCTGCCACGAGGTTAGAAAAACACTCTTAGAGACTCAAACACCCAGCTTTTCAGCAATTATGGATATATTCTGAGAACCTTGCCTTTTATTATACACGTGAGAAATGAAGTCTGGTTGAGTTTGCTGCTATTGAGTTAGATGGCAAGAATACATTCTGACTGCAAGTATCGGGAACCAAAATTAGAAAGATTATTTGCATTCAAGTTTACACATTCTCCCACAATAACAGTCACAATAGGATTGTTTAGTGTACGGTGGGTTTGACAAAAAAATAGTAAAGCTCTTAAATGCATGGGCAACTGTGGCTCAATACTACAAATTCTATTTTTCATCTCTCACCTCAACTATGAATAAAAAATACCCTCAGAATAAGCAGTATTGTCAAATTCTCTAAATTGTGAAGAAAAAAGGGTCCTCTCTCACTCTTCCGCAGGGGATTAAAGAATTCCTTTGAGCAGAGAAACGCAACTGCTGGTATACAATGTAAGAATTCAATCAATTGATGTGAATCGATGTGTTCTAATGCTTCTATTATCATAGCCATGTATACATGAATAGTCTATTCTTCAATAAGGGCCTACCCAGGATGTATTTGGGTTCAAGCTGTACAAAGGCTATTCTGCCTGTCTAT